CTCAGGCGCGTTCAGCTCGGACCCCAGCCCACCCAGACCGCCTGGCCCACTCAGACTCACCTCGCAAGAATCAGAGCACACATGAAATAATTAATGTCGCTCCAGACCGGCCACATGTAGCCCCCAACACCTCCGTTGACTAGCCAGCACTTCTGAACGAATGCGTCTGGAGCGACGACATTGAAGGTAAGACCCACCAAACTCAAGATCCATCAAACAGAAGGCCGTCGGCCCTTCGAGCACCAAGCGCCTCGGAGACTGAACGGTCCGCCTACAGATGTCTCATACTGCCGCGCAACCCTTCCACCTGTTTCTCAAGACTGGCGGGACGGCGTTCGAACAAGGCTAGTTTGGTGGATCAAACCTGCGACCGTGTCCACTGGCACGTTGGGGCGCGGTTTCATATCAAGTGCTGTCTGGTATGGACTCCAGAAACCTTCCTAAGCACCCTTCCTTTCACAGCGCCGAACCGCGTGCATCCCCCCCACCCTCTCGACGCTCTATATGCGGCCCGCTGCCTCCCTGAGGCCCTCAAATGCCTTCCTACGCGCCCAAGACGCCCTCGAAAAGACCCCAACAAAGGCCCAAAAAAACTTCCAAGGCACCAAAGAAAAGGCCAAGAGGCGTTCCGGAAAGGCCAAAAAAACTGAAACATATGGAGGTGCTTCGGCGTTTGAATACGCAACGTTTCCTGAGGTGGTTCCGAAAGGGCCTTCGAAATAGCGAGTAGGATCACTGCTGGGAATCCCTACACCTGAGCAAAGGCCAAGGGCGGAGGAAGACTGCAAACTGCAGGACTCTCAAGCACAAGGCGGGACGAGGCTGTGAACGGCTGGAAATGCGTGTTTTTCATCCGAGTCGGCCGGAGTTGCAAAAGGCGAGCACCATCAAAACATCACCAGCTGACATACTTGATCAACTTCCAAGGTTGGTTCGTGGACCAGAACAGGCGCCGTTCAACGACGGCGGCTGAAACACCGCATGCCGTCCTCACTGACAGGCGACAGCGAAGGCGGTGAAAGGCTGCCGATTGAAAGAGCCAGAGGCATCGAATACCAAGTGACCAAGGGCTGGGAATGGCTCGGGACACACGACTGGGGTGGCCAACGCTGCGGGCCAACAGAGCTGCTGGGTTCAACGGCTGGGTGGCGGTCGTAAATCCAGCTGTGGCAAGCCTCGAAGGCCAAGTCACGCTCACACACACACACACACACACACCAGTCACCACATTTGTTCAAATTCGGCGGCGCACAGGAGCCTCAGGCGCGGTCGGCACCGATTGCGGAAAAACTTAATCGAACGCGCCATAATGAAAAAAAACAGTCACGGCCATGCAAATAGGCACCACCACAAGAGAAGGAAGCGGTGCAAAGCCAAAGTGCAACGGACAAAGAACCCGCTGAACGAATGCTCGACGAAGGGAAGCTTGAAGCGCAAACAGCTGCCTAGTGCTGACGAAAGCCTAGGGCGCCGAAAAAATACTGAAATGCTGCCAGACCAGCCAACTTGATGGCGCTGCTCACGCGCAGGGAAACTGCGCGACAGAGCAAAACACCCACATTCCAGCAGGCAAGAACGACCTCAGGCGACACTGCCACAAGTGCAAGAGGTCTGCGTGATAGGGATGATCACGCGGCCACTGATGGCATAGCCTTGGACAACAAAACAAAGCTGAACGCGGGCGACCGCGAGCAGCAACCACGAGACGCGGCGGCGCACATGGGTGGTCACAGGCGCGAGCATGGCCAACGTGCAGCCCAAGACGCAAGCATTCAAACAGCAGCCTCAAACGCGACCAAAGCCGCGAAGAGCCACCACGAAGGCAGGTGAAAGCACAAGCAAAAGATGAAGGGCCACCCAGCACAAGAGAGACTGTACGCGCCACCGCAAAGGTCGCACCACCCCGACCAACAGGCGACAAAAAAAAGAGTCTAACAATGCGAAACCGCCAACGGGGTGCGCCAGCGCTCAGAATGAGACTGACCCACGCGGCGGGGACAACCCGGAAGAAGAAGTGAGAGGGAGGGGAAATGCGACAGAGCAAAGCAAGAGAGGAGCCCGGAGCAGCAAGAGCATTCCCAACTCGTCAACGTAGGCATCTCCAGCCAACGGGCGCCTTACGACCAGGTACTGGGCGCCTGTTTCTTGCGCCGCGACGGCTGCATAAATGGGCGGGGCGAGAATCGCCCAGTCATGCCCCGTGCCCCGGGATCGTCGGGCGGCCAATGCCGCCATCGAAGCTCACTGATCGCCCGCAGCCTTGCGCGCGGATTGGCGTTCGGGCAACGTTGCGGGCGCGGCGCTCGGCGTCGCAGCTTCCATAAATTACCCGCCTGGTTCCATGCCTAGATCTCCAGCCGTTTCAAGTCCGGCAGCTCCTGCTTGTTCTTGAGTCGGACGCCGTGCGTCTAGCTGATCTTGGCCCCATCTGCCCCCGGGGGCCCTTCAGCCCTCTGCAGCGGCGCCCTGGCGGCCCCCGCGAGGGCAGCACCGGAATCGCCCCCGTTGCCTGTCCCTACCGCGAGGACGCTCGGCACGCCCTCCGCCCGGGCATCGGAGTGGGCCCCGTCTGAGCGGGGGCCCACGTGGTCGCGCATTGGCAACGGAAGATGCGACGGACAGCGCCGCTCCGACACACAAGCGAAGGAACTTCGACCGCGTCCAGACACGCGGGACAGACGCTGCCCCGATCAATGTCCATTTTCGTGTGAGGTTGGCGATGCAAGGCCATCCCAAGGGCCGCCACAAAACGCGGGTGGAGGGCAGAAGCCATGTCTTCTGGGGCAGCTCCAAATAGATTCGCTCCGACGGCTAAATGAGGATTCCGAATCCGCGCGAGATGCGCCACCACCGCGAGATATGCTTCCGCCCCAATCGGTTCGCGCCAGGCAAGTCCTATTTGGCGCGTCTCTTGCCGAATGATACCTACAAGCCGGTTGGGGTAGATGCTCATTCGCCGACATGTCTCTGTCCTGGCGTGGAGAGATTCGTCGAGAATCCCCACGTTGATAAACACCCGAGAAAATGGTGTCCATCATATCCCCCCGTAGATGGCCATCCATTATTGCGGGTCGCCGCGCGGCACGTTCGACGCACGCGAAGCATGTGCCAATTGCGCGGCAAACGCGCGGTCGACAGAAGACTCATCGCCCAGGGGTGGAAGCCGAAAGCGACCCTCCCATGCGTTCCACACGTGGTGTCTTATAAATATTTGACTTTTAGCCATGTCTCCATCCATGTCAGCACATCTGGCCCGTAGTTCTTCCATGTTCAGCCGAACCGAAGAAATTGAAATGACCGGTGGGTCCACAACTCGAAGAGTCGTGGGACCACACCCCAAGTGACACACCCCTGCGGGTCAGCCATGTCCAAAATATGATTTTGAAGTGTCCCGCTGAGGTACTCGCAGGCATGGGCGGGGGTGCGCATGTCCAACCGACTGGTAAGAACGGTGACCATCTGTGCCTCGTTAACGAGGACTGACGGAGCCTGAGTAGCCGCATGCACCTGTTGCATCCCCGCCAACTCACCAGAACGCGCCCAGAAGTTATCTGGCGGGGCTTCGCCCGCGCCCCGTTGCAGCGATGAGCGGAGTGAACAAGGAGCTCCGCGCAGACCCGGCCCCAGCCGAGCGTAGGCCGCGCCAACGCATGCCTCCGACCCCCTCAAGCACATTCCCCATCTCTCTTGTCAATTGGTTTCTTTATGCCTGGTCCTGAATGTGTCCGCAACTTGTGATTGGTGGGCACTCGAAGTCGGAGCGGTCGATCACCCCGTGCTTCGCCAGCCCCTTCAGGGGGCTGCCCCTCCGGGAAGTTCCCGCGCACGTCGACGCGTCCGTGGAGGGCCCCCCTTCGGCGCAAGAATGAAAAAAAATAATTAGCCTGGCGAAGAACCCAACCATATGCAGTTGTCAGTACCGCAGCTGCGGGTTTCATCTTCAATGGAACTCCCCATAGGACTACGGAACGTGTGAGGGGTGTGCCGAGATGGGTGCCACTGGGGCATTCGGCGAAGCTCCCTATGGGGACATGAAACACGCGCGGGGCGTGCCGACATGGGTGGCGGAAACGCATGTGCGGGCCGCCACTGGGGCCTCCAGTGGAGCTCCCTATGGGTCCCCGAAACATGATGCTGCTGCGGGGGGGGGGCCGGGATGGGTGGCGGAGACGCATGTAAGCGCCGCTACTGGGGCCTTCGGTGGAGCTCCCTATGGGGCCACGAAGCGCGTGAGAGGTGTACTGGGATGTGTGGCGGGGACGCATGTGAGCGCCGCCACTGGGGCCTTCGGTGCAGCTCTCTATGGGGCCACGAAACGTGTGAGGGGTGTGCCGAATTGGGTGCGGGTGGTGACGCATGCGGGCGGTGCCACTGGGGCCTTCGGTGGAGCTCCCTATGGGGCCACGAAACGTGTGAGGGGTGTGCCGAATTGGGTGGGTGTGGGTGACGCATGTGAGCGCCGCCACTGGGGCCTCCGGTGGATGATGGGGCCACGAAACCTGTCAGGGATGTGCCGAAATGGGTGTGCGGGACGCATGCGCATGTGAGCGCCGCCACTGGGGCCTTCGGTGGAGCTCCCTATGGGGCCACGAAACGTGTGAGGGGTGTGCCGAATTGGGTGTGCGGGACGCATGCGGGCGGCAGCACTGGGGCCTTCTGTGGGGCTCCCTATGGGGCCACGAAACGTGTGAGGGGTGTGCCGAATTGGGTGTGGGGACGCATGCGGGCGGCAGCACTGGGGCCTTCGGGGGCTCCCTATGGGGCCACGAAACGTGTGAGGGGTGTGCCGAATTGGGTGTGCGGGACGCATGCGGGCGGCAGCACTGGGGCCTTCGGTGGGGCTCCCTATGGGGCCACGAAACGTGTGAGGGGTGTGCCGAATTGGGTGTGCGGGACGCATGCGGGCGGCAGCACTGGGGCCTTCGGTGGGAGCTCCCTATGGGGCCACGAAACGTGTGAGGGGTGTGCCGAATTGGGTGTGCGGGACGCATGCGGGCGGC